AACGCGGCGGCGCGGAAGAGGCCGTGGGCCCACGCTGCTCTCAGGCCCAGACTCGTCCCTAGATCGCTGCCAACCCCCCGGACACAAGCCAGGGACCGACCCAACCCCCCGATTTCACACCTAGCAAGCCCAACGCGATGCAAACGCCTTCCCTCCAGAGCGCCCGGCAGCTCCAGGTTAATCCTGTCCTGCCACCCTCTGGCGACCCTCTGTTGGGCCGGGGGCCTCTGACCCCAGAAAAGCCAGTGGGGCCGCACAGCAGCGAGAAGCAGAAGAAAAGCCCCAAACACCCCCTCCCCCCCCACTGACACAGCCCGACTGAGAAGCAGAAAGACCATCCCCACATTCCCCTTCCTCACCAGAGCCAGGGGGCCCAGCCTAGCATATTTTGTGTGATCCAGCCCTGTGGTGGGAAAACAAGGGGGTTGGAGTGCCAGCACAGACTCCCCATGCAGGAGGGGCCCTGAACCTCAGGGGCCGGGTCTAACTCCCGGGCCTGAGATTTCCCACCCTGACCTAAAGCAAGGTCAGGGTTTGCTTGTACCAAGACAATGGATTGTGCTTGGAATTCTCATAAAATGGAAAGGGACGAGTCTGGTAGGAGAGAGTTAAACTGCAGAATGACCATGCGGGGTAGCAAGGGTCCAGAGATAGGGACCGGGACAGCTATAACCCCACTGAACCAGCAGGGGTGGAGAAAGGGACAGCTATCTATTATATATTTCAGCACATTTGTGTGTCTGTCTCCCAGGCAGGGGACATGCACTTTGCCCCCAGCTGTGCCTGCAGCAGCAGCCCTGGAGACTACACAATACTGGGTGACAGGGCAACAAAAAGGCAAATGAAATTCAGTGTTGATAAATGCACAGAGGAAAACTTAATTCCAACCCCTCCGGGGTGGGCAGCAGCACTGTGCCCAGGGGACATTACAAGGGCACTGGACACAGCGTGGGTACAATGACTCCAGGGGGATTCGCCAGAGACCCAGGCTACCCCCACAGGCCACGTCTCATCAGAGAAACACCACTGCAGCAGCACAGTGCTAAGGCATCAGGTCAGCGCCACAACAACTGGCATCTGTCAGGTCTCCTGCGGCTGCACCGGCCTCCCATCCAAACCCCAGCCCTGCCGGGATCCGACTGTCTCACAAGCGAAGCGGAAGGATGCCGATGCCAGAGACCTCAAGTGCAACAGCCCTGGCCATCTCCCTGCACAGAACTCTGCAGGGCTGCTGGCTGCCACGCGGCCTGAAATCCCCTTGGCATCCTCTTAGGAACGCAGCTGGCTGCTCCCAAGAGCCCAGAGACCTCGGCAGCCTCTGGCAGCACCTGCCCTGCGGTACCTCTAGTCCTCCTCCCAGGCAGGACCCGTTGATGGCAGCAACTATGGGCTTGGGGGATTTCTCAAGTCTCTCGAACATCTTCTGCCCGTCCTGAGAAAGCTGAGTCACCTCCTGGGGCGTCTTGCAGGACGCGATCATGCTGCAGCAGGGTAGAGAGGCTGATCAGAGGCGCAGGGCAGGTGGAGGAAGCGTCACTACCACGGGGGTCCTCCTCCCAGGCAGGACCCGTTGATGGCAGCAACTATGGGCTTGGGGGATTTCTCAAGTCTCTCGAACATCTTCTGCCCGTCCTGAGAAAGCTGAGTCACCTCCTGGGGCGTCTTGCAGGACGCGATCATGCTGCAGCAGGGTAGAGAGGCTGATCAGAGGCGCAGGGCAGGTGGAGGAAGCGTCACTACCACGGGGAGCACCGCAGGCTCTTGTCTGCCACCCCGCAGGATCCGCATTGCCCCCAGCCCTAGCCC